AAACAACAAAGCAGCTGTGGTCAGCTGCTAACATGGAATATGAAAGAAATGGAAGCTTGTATCGAGGTGAACCTCCATTAACCATTGAAGAACGTGGTAAGCCCGTCGATTACTCTTCGATGTTGATAAATGAGTACTCAATAGATGTTCTGGAGATAGAGATTGGAATTTCTGAATCCAATTGGTATGAACTGAGAGTTGATGTAAGTAAAAAAGACAGTGGAAACGTCTTCATCGTGAAGAAATTTAAAGGACCTGCTGCCCATATTTTTCATCCTCCTCCTGATCGTCCTTCAACGTTCGTATGCCGAAAAGAAACCAACAATTTCTTTCAGGTATGATGGCATTCTAAACTTCTAGAGGTCTTTAATTAGTCGATCCACAAATCAACCAATCAGTCAATCAGTCATCGTTTATTTTTTATATTTTCCCTCAAAGTTTCTTTACAGGAGATATATTACTCCATAAAACATGAGTAGAAATATATGAAATGACTCACGTAGACGGTGAATGAACGAGTGACCAAAGCGTTTGAAAAAACCCTGAAAAAATTCAGCAAATCGAGCCCTGACCCATGCGATTGACTGGATGCTAAGTTCTGTCCTATCCATTAAGCTGATCAAGCTAAAGAGAGACCTAATCTATTTGTCTAATCACAAACTTATGACTGAAATAGGTCGATATCAGGTCGATCATGTGCCCATGTGGAATCCGGAATCTTGGAAATTGTTGCTTGTGGAATCCGGAATACGGCTGTGGGAATAAAGAATCCCACTAACAATTAGAATCCGGAATCCTGGGCCTTGGAATCCCGAATACACGTGTGGGAATCAAGAATCCCACTAAAAATTGGAATCCAGAATCCTGGGCCTTGGAATCTGGAATACACCTGTAGGAATCCAGAATCCCACTAACAATTGGAATCCGGAATCCAAGTTCCACTGAAATAGATCTGGAATCCAGCAATTTGATTCCGGAATCCACGGCGGGAAATCCAGAATCTGAGACTGTCTTCGATTCTCTTATATGGGGCGAATTGTGTGAATCAAACCAAGTTGAAAATGAGACCCATTTCCTGTTTCAGTGTTAGAAATGCTCTGCACAGTGGCAGAGTAGCCTAAGTAGCTGCTACTGTGTTACGCTGATATTCTTGATTGGTTTTTGGTCAATTTGGGCAAATGTAACTTGTCTTTGAACAGAATCTTGTTAAATAACTCAGAAATGTGTACTTGTTTACGGCACAGGTTGAAATGTACCGGAAACGTCGACTTGGGTGCTGTTTTGTGGGAATGGCTGAGGAATCAGACCAACGTTGCCTTTTGAAATTGGAGCCGTTCATACGGAGAAGTCTTGAGGCTCCACAGGTCATAACACAGAGGGAGTATTTCTCAAGTGAAAACTATGTTAAAATTACTGCTGTTGTCCATCCGCCTTCGCCTAAAGAGTATCGGTTTAGAATCAAACCGGAGGAAGGTCTAAGGGAAATGAGTGACGCTGCAACCATTTTAAGCACTCCAATGTTATCTGTGTTCAAGACCTTATCTTTTACGCCATCGGTAGAATGCCAGCTGCAGAAGGTATTTGACTTCCATGATCGCTTGGCTTTTTCGTGTCGAGTAATGCACAAGGGGGGGATGGGACGAGGAAATCACCCAATGTCTGTAGTAGTCATCAACAATGCTGGAGATATTGTAAGTACAGCACATCTTCTCCAAAGGAGTACTCTTCCAAGCTGGAAGCAAGTCATGAATGACCGGAAAGGATGTTGTACCCTAGAGGATAACGAAAGAGCTATGTTGATTAGAGGAAGTAAAGATTGGGGGATCTGTATCGGTAGGTGGGAAAATCGATGTGCCATAAAATTCTTTTCTCTTATTGAGAAACAAGAATGGAAATCTGTTGTATCTAACCCAGAAGAATTTTCGATAGAGCTCAGCAATAAAATGCCCTTTCGTGTGGACCTTAGGAATGGTATCATTGTTATTCCTCCAGATGTTTCTTACATACCAGAAACAATTGCACTTGGGTTTGCTATTGCAATCCTCTTTGTCCTTTGTCAGCCAATTTTAAACGAAACACTTTATTATGACCCAAGTTGTCGTTGTAGCAATTACCCTACAAAGATAAAAATTCCGGGAAACTTGAGGTTGGCAGTGGCAGTCGGTTACGACGCCGACAAGTTTAAGAATCACATTATAAGAACCACTTGTGCAAGATGTTTGGAATCGCGTAGGAGGAAAATGGAAAGGGAAAGGGAAAGGGAATGGGAGAGGAAAAGGGAAATGGAAAGGAAAAGGGAAAGTGAAAGGAAAACTTATTCTAGAACAATAGTTTCTACTTCATTATTTACTGGTGGCGGTGGCTGTGGTGGCGGTGGCTGTGATGGCGGTGGATGTGGTGGCGGTGGCTGTGATGGCGGTGGATGTGATGGCGGTGGATGTGGTGGCGGTGGATGTGGTGGTTGCTAAAACGTTCACGGAAATGGTCAAAATAGTGGGTAACGATGATGATAACACTGCTGGTGTTGTATTGCGATGATCATGATCGATGATCGATGGTGATGACGATGAGGATAATGCAGCCTAAATGAGATCAACCAACTAAAGAAGGTTAGCAACTGAAGGTGATAAAATGAACAAACAGGAACATTGATGAAAACTTTACAAAGCTACTCTTGCATGGAAATTAATGTCGTTAAGGTCCGGTTTAGTATGAGGTATTCCTCGAGAACATTAAGTAATAAGAAGTTTATTAACCACAGCTTGCAATTTTTGAACACAAATTGCTTGTTCTTTCCAGGTTATGAGTGGAAACATTTTATTATTAGGCAAAAAATATTTGAAATTCCGCCATTTTTTCAAATCTAGCTAGGGGATCTGGGCAAAAAAGTTCACGCATGCTCATTACGTTTTTCTGCCCTGAAGGCTGGCGCCGCATTTCTGCATTTACTAATTAACAGAAACTGGAAACTGCTTAATAATAAAAATTATTAATAAGTTCTTTTTACAGATGGCCTATGTCACATAATGTGGTTTTCAATAGGGCACTGCATAAAAAACTAAAAACTACAGTACTAAAATTAAAAATGACAAGATATTAAAACAGGTGAACTAAAAAACGTCACACTAAGCGAACGTATTGAGATTTAAAATCTTTAAGTAATGAAATTTTAAAAGCATTTTAAGGTACACATCTCTTGTCTTAAGGAAGGGAATTCCAGTCTGTCAATACACTATTAAATATCTGAGTAGAGCCCAGTTCGCGTTTGATCTAATAAATCTAATACTTTCCTTGGAGCGGGTGTTATGGCTATGATAGTCTGAGTCTCGAGTAATCATACTGNTGAAGGCTGGCGCCGCATTTCTGCATTTACTAATTAACAGAAACTGGAAACTGCTTAATAATAAAAATTATTAATAAGTTCTTTTTACAGATGGCCTATGTCACATAATGTGGTTTTCAATAGGGCACTGCATAAAAAACTAAAAACTACAGTACTAAAATTAAAAATGACAAGATATTAAAATAGGTGAACTAAAAAACGTCACACTAAGCGAACGTATTGAGATTTAAAATCTTTAAGTAATGAAATTTTAAAAGCATTTTAAGGTACACATCTCTTGTCTTAAGGAAGGGAATTCCAGTCTGTCAATACACTATTAAATATCTGAGTAGAGCCCAGTTCGCGTTTGATCTAATAAATCTAATACTTTCCTTGGAGCGGGTGTTATGGCTATGATAGTCTGAGTCTCGAGTAATCATACTGTTTCTTTCACTGTCATTAGTAAAATTATGCATAAAGAACATCGTTGCATTAATCTTCTGTTTGATAGATTTATTCAGTTCAGATCTAGAAGTGCTTGGGTTGAAGAAGAATGCATCGCTCGATCCAGAACTAGCTTGGCTGATTTATTCTGAAGAACTTGGATAGAATCCATTAAAACTTTGTTATTTTTGTAAACCCATACGATACTTGCATATTCAAGAATAGGAATGACCATTGTTGACACATAGATCCTTCTTGCATAAACTGGGAGAAGATGCTTGATTCGTTTTAAGACACCTAGTCTCGTTGCTATGTTACTTTGTAATTGTTCAATGTGGTCATGCCAAGTAAGATGCCGGTCTATGATGCTTGAATTTGGTAACGTTCTCTAATTATATCAAGGTAGCGTCCATACCCCCGTGCGTCTTTGTGTTAGTATTTCCTTTGTCCCTTTCATCTTATTCCGTAATTCTGATTGCGTCACTGACCTTTTTTTCCGCCTCAACAATGCACCTTCGATAGCCCTAGAGATGAATAAAATAAACAACTAACTACTGACTTTTCCTGCATATTAATTTGTTAAAAATATCTTGCGGAAAAAGCTAAAAATGGCATTTCCGCCGAGACCATAAATTTAAGAATTTTCTGCGAGAGCATGTTCCCCGACTCTCCTTTTTTGGTGCTAAAACTTTTCTTCTCCGCGTGCGTACACCTTCAAAATCTTACACTAGGCCCTTGGTTTTATACCTCTTACAAAATTAAAGATCATTTGAGTTACAGAACTTAGCGGTTTGGTAAGTGTAGTATTGCACGTTATTAACCAGTTAAGAAGTAATGCCTGACGTTTTGACAGATCGGTATTTAATGTCCATGCAAGCAAACTTCCAAATCTTATTTCCCTTTTCGCGTGTAGATATTCTTGACTGTGAAATAAAACGTCGTTGAAAAACAAACTGCTCAAAAGGTCTTTTGATGATCCAAGAGACTTTGTGTTTCGTGTACATTAAGGCAGTCGTAATGCAGTAAATAATTTAGCTGACAAATACAGGGTTCGTCAAAACAACACGATCTCCTTCCATTTGATTCAGTTTCAATACTCCATATACATTGTACGTGAGGTTCAATGTTGCATGTCATAGCAATAGCGGAAATGTTTTTGGTACAAAACAGCACCAGGAATCAAAGTAAACCAAAACAGTCTCACGGGCACTGTGTTCGTTGTGAAATCATCACGACAGGCTCACCACAAAATAATCAGCGCCAACACCATGAATGCAACAATTATAGCAGCCTCGAGGACGGCGGAAGATGGAGAATTTCCTCGCTTTTCCTTTAGTTTTCGAATCATATTTTCGGCCAGTTGAGCAGGAATAAAAGACAACTTGTTGCGAATCACGCTATTGTATTAATAAAACAAACCACCCTATTTGCATTGAATATGAAACACCTTTTACAACTTGTCCCTTTTCAAATTCGTATGTATTATTGAGATTGCCATGGAAAGGTTTGCGCATGCGTTTCTTCTCCTTATGAGGAACCGAATAAACAACCCTACGGGTTATGGGCTCTTGTTCCTAGTCAATCTCTTCCCCCTAGTTCCCACTTATTTTCCTCCGCTTCCCCTAGTTCCCCCTAGTTCCTTCGTACTAGCAGACGGTAAGTACAGAAAAATGGTGCCAAAGTAAATAAGCCAGTTTCAAAAACTGCTCTCAGTTTCAATATAGTTAAAGTGACGGATGAAGGGAAGGGGCTTGATCGGGCTATGATTGGTAGAAAGGATCGACTTCGTGTCTCACACATTTTTCAATCCCTGGTCTTTTCAAAACGACGTCGTCCTGCAATTTTCCTGCCGATAGCTAATCGAAGAATGAAAAATGTCTAGTTTTGTGACCCACCATGGGTTATCACTAGACAAACAACAGCATTTTTTCGAAGCCATGTGCGACCGAGGGGGGAGGGAAAGGCGGTGGATTCGGCGGTGGTGGATGTGGTGGCGGGGGTTGTGGAGGTTGCTAAAACGATCACGGAATTGGTGAAAAGCATGGTAACGATCATGATGTTCATTGACGTTTTATTGCAATGATAATGATCAGATGTCGAGGGTATTGATGATTACGATAGTGCAACCTCATTGGTATCATTGCAGGAACTTTAATGGATATCACAAACAAGACTCGAAACCTAGGAGATATAATGGACAAAAAGTTAACATTTGCAGTCGATGCTCTCCTTGCGACCACTCTCGTAAAGCTACCTCTGAGGGTCTTATTCATAAAAATCAACACTTCAAAGAAACTACGCGCTGCGCTAATGGTCGGTTGCGATTATTTTGGTCTAAAAAACTGGGCGTAAAGTTTAGCCATATCTATATCAGCTATGAAGACACTCATTAAACATAAATTCCTCTTGTTTTTCTTTATGAATTATTAACGAGTTTCTTAAACTCTCGTAAGCGACTTATGAGGGTAACAGCACCATCGATGAGACGAAAGCTACTCTGACAAGACCAATTGGCCGCATTTGAAAGTATCCCTCCTGTGATGTACTAAAAAGTCTGGTAAAGACTCTTGTCACAAGAACGCTCTTATCGCTTGCTTGAAGATTAAATTAGAAATGAGGAGGTGATTAATTTTATACGAAACACGATTTCCTCTCCAAAAGTTTTTCATTTCCTACTTTATCGACGGTCGAGTATTCTTCAGGATATTTACTTTTTATATCGTATTCGACGATGATTGATTACACATGTATAAATACACGAAAATCAATTCGAGAGAAGTTACCTCATCGTCAGAAAGCAAAAACGTGATAAACATGGCGCGCCATTTCAATCATCGCTGAAAACAAACCGCATGCTCATCACAAGACTTATTTGCATACGATGAAAGTTTAACACCCGACCAGTTTATAGCCACGCCATCGAAGTTTCCACTGAAGTATTCAGTTGTTCCAAAGTAACCAGCCCTTTCAAGCAAAAGAATTAGTGTACCGATGCGTTCTGGAAAAGCTCGACATCTTTCGCATCAATTGTTCTTAAAGCCTTCTTCACAAAGTAAAGCATGGCGCTGTGACACTTCGCGATTCTTATTCCCAGTTTCCACGGTCTCCGCTAGGAACGCTTGGGACCATGAGTCCCTTTTGGTACGCACACGAGAAAAAAAAGAAAAAGGAAAAAAAAAGAAACGCTTGCCTTTTTAGAGTCTCGCAGCTAAAGCAAGTGAGACTAAACATTTTTCGCAGGTACAATGAGACAAGGTTTAACGATTCCGAAATTCTGCAGCAATTTTTGTAATGGAATCGAAGCGAAGAATGTTGGGACTTGCAGTGCATCGTGGGAAGGATACAACCCATAAGACTTTGGAGACCATGTGTGCTGCACTTGCGTGGCCCCAAAAATGTTGGAACAGCAGTGCAAACGGATCCAGCATTGTTGCGCTACGATTCGGTAACGAGCAACAATGTGCAACAGGGCGTGTAAAAGGAGGCAAAATGTAACAACCGACAATGTCA